TTTATTGTTTGTTTTTCTTGAATGACTGGCAGGGACTTTTATATAGAAAGAACTAAAAATATCTTAGCAAGATTTGCAACCCAGAATGACAAGTGAGTAGGATTGTCAAATGCAGGCATTTATATCAGTTGCAATATTAATAATATTAATATCAATATTAATTTAATTTAATATTGTTTTGTAAAATGTGACTATCAGATACTATCAGATTTGCAATCTGATAGAGAAGGGGAGGATGTTCTTAAGATATGAACAATATCTTACCACTTCAAAGAAGTACAGTGCTCTGTCATAGTTCTTTAATGCTGCATAAATCATTCCTCCATAGTAATAGTATGATAGTAAAGCCTTGGAATCAAACTTGCCTCCCTAGTCACATGAAAATCAACAAATAATCATTATAATTTAGCATAAAATCAATGAAACAAATACCGTATTTACCCATGTATAAGCCGCTCTCGTAGATAAGCCGCATCTCGAGTTTTAGGAACGTTTTTGAGGAAAAAAAGACGGAAAATAAACTTTTCTACTTTTTATCGCCACTTGCGAACACAGCTTTCTTTGATTTTAAAGTGCTTTTCCGCTGCTCGATTTCCGTGATTTCTGATTTGCGGTGTATGATGAATTTGATCTTGGAGACATAATTGTTAAGATAATGATAATTGATACTTTAAAGAGTTGTTTTTCATTCAAAAGGTAAAAGCAAACTAGTAATTAACTTGTGTGATATAAATCTCATCCTGCCGCCAAACTTCTAAACATAAGGATCATGCCGAAACGGTTTTGTATTTCCAAAAAAATATTAAAGCAGATTGTATTTAAGATTAAGATTATTTAAGATTGTATTTATATATAAGGAACAATTTCTTAGGCTTATTTCTGGGTATTCAAAACATTTACCCTGGATTCTTCACTTTAAGTGTGACAAAGTCGCTTAAATGATCAATGCAAATTAGAATCGCGTTACCAAAACAACTCCAAGACAAAATGATTGAAAATGCTCTCTGTGCACTTTTCAGTTTGATTTATTCACTTGTGTTTCTCAGAGCTAGATTTTCGGAGAATTTATAGTAACACTGAGAAGTTTGGATTAAAATTYCTGTTCCCGCYGWGTAAAACAAACTTATCACATTACTGATGTCCTGTCTGCAGTAAGTAGCACCGTGAATGCTAATTTATGCAAATTAGTTTTTATCAGGCATTTCAACAAGTCTTCTCATAGATAAGCCGCACCTCCGATTTGGGAACGATTTTTCTGGAAAAAAAGTGTGGCTTATACATGGGTAAATACGGTAGTCCTATTATATTTTTACTTTTTCATGCAGTGTACAGGGGCGTATCCAGGGGAGGGTG